ACTTAGGAACGCATTGACGTGGATCACACGATTTCTACTGAAGGCGACAAAATTTTCACATGGTATCGGCAACTGTTTTCATTAGCAGGGTTGCGTGCGTTGGTGTTGCACCTACGAAATAATTGTACGTGCGAAAATATTGTGCTAGTCCTCAATGCACAGTATCTCTGACGATTGACGTAGTCTGACGACACCTCATAAAGGTTACGAAAGGGCAACGGTCGCAAACCGTTGACCGTGCAACTCAACAGTCAGAAGTGCAACTCAACAGTCAGTCAGGGTTCTTCATGAACACGGGGAAGCTCCATGCATGCTGCGTTATGGCCTTAGGCTTATCCATCTTGTCTGCTTCGGTTGCGGCTCCACAACAGTCCTTGGTGTCTGGGTAGGGGTCCTCCTCCTCCTCCTCCTCCTCCTCCTCCTCCTCCTCCTCCTCCTCCTCCTCCTTCTCCTCCTCCTCCTCCTCCTCCAGCACCCCATTAGGCCCCACAAACCCGCTGTTGTCGCCGCTGGTCCCTTTCAATGACATGTCCTTCGAGACGTCGCACTAGCTCCGTGGGTGCATGTGCTATAGCACCACATAGATATCGGAACCATCCAGGTTGCTCGATATTCCACAGGTATTAAAGGCCTTCACAATGATGTCGCGCGGAACCGCATCGCTGATCCACTTCAGCACCACAGGATGGGGTGGTCGCTTCAGATTTCCTGACGTGGGGGATGGACAGATGCGCATGCAGAGGCGGCTGAGGGTTCTCTCCCTAAACTTCAAATGTACAATGCAGAGTGGCTTCGGATGACAAGGACTGGGACTTTGAGCCTAGAAATCAAGGAATCAACAAGCCTAGAAATCAAGGAATCAGTGAGCCAGAAAATCAATGAATTAGAGTATACCTTAGGGCGTCTTCAGGTAGATTACGTGGCGTGAGAACCAGCGTGCGTACCTTGCACGAATGCCAGCTTTGAAACACCTGTTAATGGAAACATCAAGGGGCTGGACAAAGGAGATGCAACCTGCAGGGATAATGGCGGGGACGATGCTATTGAGGGCGTAGGAGTTCTTCATCCCGTGCGTTAGGTGACCTCTGTAAGAGTCCAGCACAAGCATCGCACGCCGTGCCTTCTCCCCCTTCTTTGGATTCAGGTAGGGCATGATATCCTTTCTGAACCATTCTCCTGCGCCTGGACCTTGATGCCTGCCACACCAAAAACCAAACGAGAGTCGGGCATGTGAGTTTGCAAGGCGAGACTTCAGTAGGATTGCAGTGCACATCGAGACTGCGCTGTTCGCCATGGTCTTTCGTCTGAACCACACCCACGGGCGCAACTTCTCGCCACTTGCAGTGTAGGCAAGCATGACGGTGAGTCTTTGTTTCTCGTACCCTGCAGTTTTCACTGGAACCAATCGTGCACCCCTGTGCTCCAGTGTGCGTCCGGACAGCATCTCGCAGAATAGCGGCGTTTGATCGGCATTAATGATGCGACTGGGGTCGAGGTTATGCCGCGCGCGATTGATACGGATGAATTTCCAAAAGCTCTCGCTATCTTGAGCGCAATCTGAGGGATCTGGGGCGGGCAAGGGAAGACATGGACTTGGTGAGCGAGCAGTTTCACTCCGAACACAATCAGAGGATGGAAAGATGGAGAGGCACAATGACATACAGTAGTAAGGAGATTTATCTGCAGCCATTCGTTGGCCAACTTTGGTATTCACTCGCATCATCAGATTCCAACGATCCCGGAATCGTTGACTCCAGTGAGAGGAGGCTTGCCAGGGGCTCTTGGGGTGATGCTTTCGCATGTACGCCCTGCTCCACTTTTGAGTGTCGCGCACCGAGACAGCAATCCCCTTGCTCCACTCCATGCAGATGTATCGATACAGCTTCTCCTCCATGTCAGGGTATATGGAGTGTCACCCCGCGCCGTGTAGACGCTTTCGACTAGACGCTGCCCCAGCGTACACCCCGGATTCCGTCTGGCCCACCCACCAGCGTATCGTGCATGCCGTGACTCCAGCCTCTACAGCAGTCTTCTTCAATGACTTGATCTCGCCATACCGTTTCTCCCACTTGATCTTCTTGCGGATGTTCCAGCTTCTCCTGGTCCTCTTGAGACCCGCGGCCGAGGAGATGATGCCTTCGCGTTGGGATTCTTCTCTCACGGATCTTTGGGCTTCATGCCTTCAGGGAAGTCCGGGAGTGGGCCAGCGGCTTCCGCGTAGTCCTCGTCGGAGTTCTCCAAAGCCTCTGCTACCTCATCGTCTGCTGTTGGTATCACGCTGGGGCTTCTTCTTCGCTCGTTGAGCAGACGGCAGCAACTGCTGCCGCTTCCTCTTTTGGGGTTCATCCGCTTCGGGCACCTTCGCCTTCCCCTTCTCCTCCCGTGAGTACCGCTGGTGCTTCTCTGATGGCGTACAATTGGTGGCAGCCTTGCGCTTGCTTCCAGCTGGTGCCGCATGGTCATGCTTGCGGGAGTCGTTGACCTTTTCCCGTCGGCGCTTGGATATGCTCAACGTAAACTTCAGCTTCCGCTTCGCAAGAGGCTCGTTGTCATTGGAGTTGTTGTCTGGCGATTCCAACGCGTTGGTGTCGGCCGCATGATAGGCGACGCTGTCAGCACTGGCTCCGCCTTCCGCTGCAGGAGACGCCTCGCTCGCTTCGTGACCGCCCTCTGCCTCATGCTCAAAGCCTGGTACCATCGATGTTGGGTTGCCAGCCGTGCACACGCCACCATCGTCCTCGCCTCCATCTGTGTCATCGCCAGCGTGCCACTCCTCCACCTCCTCATCCGACCCTATCGGCGCTGCCCACCACTCATCATCCTCGACGTCGCAGGTTGGTGACGTCAAGGTGTTCTCTCCAGCGTATCAACCGTCTTCAGGCCACTCTTTCGCGCCCGCATCGTCGTCCTCTTCGAGCCCATGCTCTCGATTCATGGCGTAGGAGGCGGAGTCACCAATCGTGCCTGTTTGCTCCTTGAAGATACTTTGTTGGTTTCGAGAATGGCGGATTTGGATGGTGTCTCCGGGGGAATTGAGCCTACCGAAGATGTTAACGTAGACGCTAGGGGAGGACGTACAGTCTGACCTTCCAGGCTCGCATGCCATGTGCCTACAGACTGGTGAACACTACCTGCGCATTGCACGGGGGCATTGCGCAGGCAGAAGGCTACCTTAGCTCGGTGAGAAGTGACCTCTAGAAGCGATCACAGCTGGAAAACAGAAAATGGAGGGGACTACCCTGCCGAGATGCGCAGCACACAGTCGAGTGTTCCTGCCACAGATGAGAGTGTCCTTGTTGTTCCCTCCAGAAGCAGCGCTGGGCAACATCCGCGTAAGCAATATTGTCGTCACCACATGTGCCATACAAGTGGTGGCATCGCAACTCATTGCATCCATCAGCTTGATGCTGATAACTGTGCGATAGACGGTGGCAATTACAGGATGGCTGTACAACAACCATCTTGGACATGGTTCGGTGACAGCGCAGACCTTGCCACTCTGTTTTGACATGGTCAGTCCAATCCATCATGCGGGCGCTGTGCCAACGCTGACACAGTGAAGCGAGTATTCATTACCAAGCATGCCCGGGTGTAAGTCATGATCAGTGCTGATCTTTGGTTTTTCACTACTCTGGTTTTCAGGAGTGAAATCTGTGCCTCTGATTTTCAGGGTTACCTGGAGCACTAACTCTGGTTTTTCAGGGTTTTTCTCTGTTTCCAAAATAATAACTCTGATTATAAGGGATCATTCCTAGAGCCACTTTCATTAACAAAAGTGCACAGGTCACGCCCACTTTTGTACAAGCAGCCACCACAGTCGCATCTCATCACTCGTGGAAATGCCTTACAACGGGCGCTAGACAACGAAACCAAAGGGCGTGGTGCTCACATTTCCAGTTCTTGAAAATCCTGAAGTAGTACCAAAATTCGCGAAACTTTTGCCCTGAATGACATTCACGAAGCCCTATCGAAATGTGCTGCGAACTATGTATCTAGCCCAAGTTCAGGTTTTAGCCGAGAACCGAAACTAAGCACCACGACCTTTGGCGGGGCAATAAGGGCCAGGTTCAGGGTCGCATCCAGAGTCGTGGCGCAGGCGGCAAATGATGTGTACAGTCCCAGGCGGGCGGTGCACGTAATACCGAGCAAGAATCCGAGTCAGGGACCGAGGATCCTTGCTAGGCCCGTCTGACTTAGCTGAATTTTTAGGATACGGGAGGGTGCTTGGGAGAAATGTTTCTGGCTGTGAGGGACTTAGCTGAATTTTTAGGACATGGGAGGTTGCTTGGGAGAAATGTTTCTGGCTGTGAGGGACTTAGCTGAATTTTTAGGACACGGGAGGGTGCTTGGGAGAAATGTTTCTGGCTGTGAGGGACTTAGCCGAATGGGTTGGAGGGGGTGCTTGCTAGGAATGTCTTCGGTTGTGGGGACTTCGCCGAAATTCTTGGGTTCGGCTAGGGGACTAGTAGGCATTTTTGTCAATGTCTGGCGGATTTCATCTGTCGTCAAGGAGTACAGTACAGCAATAATCTGGGGGTATACCCTCTATTGAAAATCCCGCAGGGTAGTACGTAGGCCAACTCTGATAAATCAGAGAAAACATATAATTTCAAAAATTGACCCAGAGGCGAAAGGGTGGTACGCAAAATCAACTCTGATTTTCAGAGAATCAGAGTAATTTACTCGTGAAAAATAGGCACTGGTCATGATTGCAGCTTTCACTGCAAACATCTTCTCCGTTAGAGCATGATTCTGTACTATCATGTCTGAACCAAACCAGCGATGCCTTTTTAGGCCCTTTTACAAAAGTTCCGGTTATAAGATCTATAAGACCCCCATTTATTCCTGATTATAAGGAAATCCCCAAGGAAGGCTTTTACTTTTGGATAAGACCCATAGGTCTTCTATCCGGGCGATGACGGAAGTTTCTAGCATTATTCGACATTCTCTTGTATTCTTATATAAACCTTTGTATCCCTTAGCTATAATCAATCACTTGTTCTCACATACCAGCACAAGGGTTCACTCAAGACTTCTTTCCCTGAAAAGATCCTAGGGCCATTCTCAGCCCAACACTATGCAAACTGCATGTATAGTTAAAGGCTAGACAGGTTTGTGCTCTTAGAAAGTACAACCCAAACACATATATCACCCAATATGCTCAGTCCAAACCAAACTGTAGGCACTGGGCTATCTAGGTCGGGGAGTGAATTGGAGATCCAAATCCCGAGGTACTGCTTAAGACTCTCCTGTGGCTGCTGCTAACCTTGGGAATTGCAACAGACAACCAACAATTCCTTTTCCCTCCATTTCGTCCCTGGGCTTCCCCACTTACAGAATTCGTCTCTAATCTGCCCGAGAAGTCAGCGGATGAAAAATGTGGAAGCTCGGTAAGGGTCGAGTTCCGTCTGTGTCTTTGGTCAAAGCTGAAACCTTTCCTGGGCAGATCAAAAGAAGGAAGTTTCCGGGAAGCCCTGGGGGAGGACTTAGCCGAAGATGCAGATGCTTCTGCTACCTGACTGGCAAAAGCTGCGGCAGCAATCATAGCCCCATAGCCTCGTTCTGCTGGCTTTTCTGCTGCCACGGCAGCAGTGGCAGAAGAAGCTTCAACAGGGGTTGCTGCATGCCAGGTTGACCTGCGTGGTATAGGCCCCTTGGCTCCTCCAGTTGCTGCTCCTCCTGCTCCTCCTCCTGCCGCTCCTCCTGCTGTGCCTCCTGCAGAGGCACTCTGTGGTCTGCAAGCCTTTGAAACTGCAACAGATGATGCATGCACCTTTCCCTGTCCGCTTCCTGCCTGGGCTTTCCCACATACAGAACCTTTTTCCAAGCTGCCCGAAAGATCAACGGATGAAAATTGCGGGAGCTCGGACAGGGACACATTACGCCTGTGCCTCTGGTCAAAGCTGAAACCTTTCCTGGGCAGCTCAAATGAAGGAAGCTTCCCGGAAGCCTTGGAGGAGGAAGATTTAGTCACACCAGCAGCAGCAGCACCAGCACCAGCAGCAGCAGCATGTGCTATCTGACTGGCAAAAGCTGCGGCAGCAATAGCTTCATAGTCTCGCTCTGCTGGCTCTTCTGCTGTCATGGCAACAGCTACAGAAGTAGCTTCAACAGTGGTTGCTGCATGCCAGGTTGCCCTGCGTGGTATAGGCCCCTTGGCTCCTCCTCCTGTTGCTGCTGCTTCTGCTGCTACTCCTCCTCCTCCTCCTCCTCCTCCCCCTCCTCCTCCTCCTGCTGCTACTCCTGCTGCTACTCCTCCTCCTCCTCCTCCTCCTCCTCCTCCTGCTGCTCCTGCTACTCCTGCTCCTCCTCCTCCCCCTCCTGCTGCTGCTGCTGCTGCTGCTGCTACTCCTCCTCCACGAGGCTTGAACGTGAGGTCCCAAGAGACTCTTTTGAGAGGGGTGGGAGAGCCGGCGGCACTTGGTGCGTCGGGGAAACCACGAGAGGAGGAGGAGTGGGAGACAGCGGAAGGGTGAGAGGGGAGGAGAGGAGGGGATCGAGGGTGGGGAGTGAGAGGAGGGGACCAAGGGGGGGGAGTGAGAGGAGGGGACTGAGGGGGGGGGGTGAGAGCAGGGGATCGAGGGGGGGGAGTGAGAGGCAGGGACCGAGGGGGGGGAGTGAGAGCAGGGGACCGAGGGGGGGGAGTGAGAGCAGGGGATCGAGGGGGGGAGTGAGAGGAGGGGATCGAGGGGGGGGAGTGAGAGGAGGGGACCGAGGGGGGGGAGTGAGAGAAGGAGATCGAGGGCGGGGACGACAGATGGGAGGGGATCGAGTGAGGGGGGGAGGGGGGGAAGGCAACGAGGAAGGAGGGGAAAAGAGAGGGGATCCGGCTGAAGCATAGAAAGGGGGGGCTACCATTGGGGAATCACCCCACCGAGCACTGAAGCTACCCAACTTCCCCTCAGCAGGCGACCAGGAAGAGGGGGGAAAGAGAGAAGAGCCAGGTGCAGCAGAGAAAGGAGGAGCTACCATGAGGGAGTCATGAGGCGATGAACCCCACCGACCACTGAAGGTACCCGGCTTCCCCTCCTCCTCCTCATCTCTCTTTCCACTCATGGCGAGACGGTTCCTTTCCAGTGATAAGGTGCCTCCCTTCCGAATTCCTCCCTCCCCGTCACCACCTCCAATACCTTCCTCCCCAGTCCCTTCCTCCCCAATGCCTCCCTCCCAAGTCCCTCCCTCCCCAGTACCTCCCTCCCCAGTCCCTCCCTCCCCAGTACCTCCCTCCCCTTTGGCCAACTCTAGACCCTTGCACGGTACACTTTCCCCGTCCAAACACGCGAGGTCAAAAGACTTCCACCGCGGCCGTCCCAGAAGCGCCTTATTTCCTGTTCCCACAGCAGCAGCTAGAGCGCCTCTTCCCTGCCTCACTCGTGTGCTCACAGCCTTGACAGCCGCTACATCCTTCACTCTTCGTGCTACAGCCTCTACTGCTTCCTTGGGCTTAGCCGTTGCTTCCTCTATCGATTCTGCTACAGCCGATGCTACAGCCGTTGCTACAGTGCCAGCCGCTTCGGTCACTTTCCCCACCACTGTTCCTGCTGTCCCCGCTACAGTCTCAGCCACATTACCCGCCATCCCAACCACCGAGCCTGTAGCCCCCACTACAGCGCTTGCGACAGTTTCTACTACAGCCCCCGCTACAGCCCCCGCTACAGCACCCGCTACAGCCCCAACCGAAAGCACCACCTGACCAGCAATCTCCTCAGAGCCTTGCAGCCAATCTCTGTTCCACAGAAACGCAAAATCCGAATAGCTGTGCCCATGTCTGTGCCTATACATGCTGGGCTCTTTCCCCCCACACCCCGCGTCCCCTTCCTCTCCTCCCCCTCCTCTCCCTCCTCCGCTTTCCCCCCCTTCCACTCCGCCAAGCCTAGACGAGCGGAGCCCCGGAAGGCCGTAGCTCTCTGGAGGGGCGATGAGCCTCCAGGCGCTGCTGGTGGTGACAGCAAAATCTGGTGCGGATTGTATCTGACGGATTTGATATGATGGCCGGCTAGAAGCTGACAAAGAGGAGGACGGTGGTGAGATCGAGGAGGCTGATAGAGACGCAGGGACGGTTCTACAGCGACGTGCTCCCTGCTGCTGCTGCTGCTGCTGCTGCTGATCGTCCTGTGGCGCTTTTTCCCTATGCTCGCGCACAGACAGGGCAGGCTCGTCGCCCCTACGCCCCAGCAACGCGGGCTCGTTCATCCGCCCACTGGCCTTCCCCAGTCGCTTCAGTAGTGGCCGGCGGAGCGTGGGGCAGAGGAGCTTCCACGTGCTGTGGGAGTACCGAATAGTCTCCTCCGCCTCCTTTGCTGCATTGGCTACCTTCACCCACTCCCCCCCTCCCTCCCCTCCCTCCTCTCTCTCCTTTGCTTGCTTGGCTTGCTTGCCTGCCTTCCCCCACCCCGTCATTCCGTCCTCTCCCTCCTCTCCACCCTCTCCCTGCTTGCCTGCCGCCTTTCCCCACGGAGAGTCCCACTCCCCCCCTGCTTCTTCTGATTTGACCTCCGTAGCTTGTCCCTGTGACGGCCCTACCCAGGCCTCTCCCTCCCCATCCTCCCCAAGAGAGGGGGAGGAGAAGAGGTCCCTAGGGTTGACTGAGCGGCCTGGAGACCGGGGGGGGAGAGACGGAGGGGGAAGGAGAAGAGGAGAGCTTTGAAACGCCTCAGAAACAGCCAGGGCCCCTGACGGCCCTCCACGGTCCTCTCCCTCCCCATCCTCCCCAAGAGAGAGGGAGGGAGGAGAAGAGGTCCCTAGGGTTGACTGAGCGACCTGGGGACAAGGAGGGGTGGGGGTGAAGGGTTGGGGGGGAGGGGGAAGGAGAAGAGCCTAAGGTTGACAGAACAGCTTGAGGAGGACAAGGGGAGGAAGTGGAGGGGAGGGGGGAGAAAGGAGAGGGGTTCTGAGACACCTCAGAAGCAGTCTGTTCCCCTAACGGCCTTCCCAAGGCCTCCCCTTAGGCCTCTCCCTCCCCTCCCTCCCTCAGGGAAGGAGAGGAGAAGATGTCCCTAGGGGTGATCGAACGTCCTGAGGACAAAGGGGATGGGGGGGAGGGAAGTGGATGGGAGGGGGAAGAAGAAGGGGAGGAATTTTGAGGCGCCTCAGAAGCAGTCTGTTCCCCTGACGGCGCTCCCCAGTCTTCTGCTACCCTTTAATCCCCGAGAGAGGGGGAGGAGAAGAGGTCCCTAGGGCTGACAGAACGGCCTGAGGACAAGAGGGCGGAGGCGGGGGGGGGGAGGGCGTGGGGTGGGGGGTGGGGGGGGAGAGTGGGTAGAGGGAAGGGGGAAGACGAAGAGGAGGGCCTGTTCCCCAGACGACCTTCCCCGGCCTTTGCTATCCATAACTTCCCAAGAGGGGGAGAGGAGAAGAGGTCCGTAGGGCTGACTGAGCGACCTGGGGACAAGGGGAAAGAGAGGGGGGCAAAGGAGGGGGAAGGAGAAGAGCCTAGGGTTGTCAGAAAGGCCTGGGGAAGGGTTGGGGAAGAGGAGAAGCAGAGGTCTGTGAAAGACGGGGGAAAAAGGAGGAGCGGGGAGGGCAGGGGGAGAAGGATAACGGGGATGGGGGTTAAGGGAAAAGGTTGAGGGGTAGGAAAAAAAAGGTGCTCGTTTTGGCCAGGAAAAGGACCCATGTTTCAGAAGAAACAGTTCTTGGAGAAAGGAGAGGTGGTGCGTGGGAGAGGAAGGAGAGGTGGTGCGTGGGAGAGGAAGGAGAGGTGGTGCGTGGGAGCGGAAGGAGAGGTGGTGCGTGGGAGAGGAAGGAGAGGTGGTGGGCGGGAGAGAAAGGAGAGGAGGTGGGCGGGAGAGGAAGGAGAGGAGGTGGGTGGGAGAAGAAGGAGAGGAGGTGGGTGGGAGGGGAAGGAGAGGAGGTAGGGGGAGAGGAAGGAGCGGAAGTGGGCGGGAGAGGAAGGAGAGGAGGTAGGGGGAGAGGAAGGAGAGGAGGTGGGTGGGAGGGGAAGGAGAGGAGGTGGGTGGGAGATGAAGAGGAGGTGGGTGGGAACATACCTGGTCCAGCAATTTCTCCATATCCGAAGTCCGAGTTTCCCGCCCACTTCCGCACTTGATCCAACAGATCCGGGCCCAAAAGTTTCAGCTCCCCGCTCGTCACCAGCTCGTCGTCCGCCGCGATGGTTACAATCCTCCACGAAATCGCCATGCTGTTTCGCCCCGCCCCCAGCAGTCGCAGGGGCATCGCCAGCAGCGGGAGAACGTCGTACACGTCGCCAGGCTCGCGCGCCTGCGACCCAATCTCCACCGCTTCTAGAGGCGAGTTGTCGCACGCTGTCAGGAGGGAGTCTCTGAGCTCCTTGCTTGGATCCTGGCCGTCCAAATCGTACGGATCTGGGTATTTCCTGCAGCCATTCGTATGGGTCTGATGACTCGTCATCAGATGTCGATCACTGAAGCCGTTTCTAGTACTTGCTAAGGGGTGGTCCTTAGCGGCTTTATGGGCAATACTCCTACTACTGGTAGTACTAGGAGTACTAGTACTACTAGTAGTAGTAGCATTGCTGCGTTTGGGATCGCCCCACTCATCCACCTCACCATCTGGACCTCCCGCGCTGTTAAAAATCGACATGGACTGCGGCGCAAGCACGCACGTCTGCGGCAAGATCCCCAGATTCCACGGCGCTAGCAGCAGCCGCGATTCGTTAGGCGGCAGCACTTTAAGTCTGCCGTCCAGCGCCAGAATCCTCCGCTTCTCCCGCAGCGACTCCAGCTGCGGGTCGTCGCGGATGCGAAGCCTCTCCCGCCGCCGCCGCGGATTTCCGCGGATTGCGGAGTCGGCGGAAGACGCCACGCGGCACACGAACGTGAAGGCGGAAGTGGGGGGTGGGGGAGCGGCGGCGCCCGCCGCAGCGTCTGGAGAGCCTCCCCCTGAGCGCGGCTGATGAGGCGCGAAGAAGGGGGCGGGGTGGGAAGGGGGAGGGGGAGGGGGGATGAGAAGAATGTCGTGCCAGACGGAGGACACGTGTCCAGCGTGGATTAGCGGAAGGAGGCTGCTGCTGCTGCTGCTGCTGTTGACGCTGATGCTGCTGATGCTGCTGCTGATGCCGCTGCTGCTGATGCTGCTGCTGCTGCTGCTGCTGCTGCTGCTGCTGCTGCTGCTGCTGCTGCTGCTGCTGCTGCTGCTGCTGCTGCTGCTGCTGCTGCTGCTGCTGCTGCTGCTGCTGCTGCTGCTGCTGCTGCTGCTACTGCTGCTGCTGCTAGACGCTCCACTGGCAGCCGCCACCGCCGCTGACGCGGATGCAGCTCGCGGCACCATGATAGAAGCTGAAACGAAGCCCAAACTTGCCAGTGGCGATCTCGGAAACCCTTTGAAAGACAGCCAGATCCTACCGAACCGACTCCGTTAGTAGCGGTAACGCTGGCGAGCTTGGAATAAGGGGGAGAAGGAGAACTGTTCGACACGTTCTGATTCTGAGGAACGCAATCGGCTTCACGGCGGAATTCACGTGCCACAGTGTTACTAATAGTAGCACTAAGCGAGTCTCTGAGCCTGGCAGGTTCTGAGACTGCCCGGCTGAGAGCCTGCGAGGCACTGCCAGAGTCAGAGCCTCACTCGGAGTGCCAGAAACAGACTGGCGGGATTTGAATTGCATAGGGATCATGGTGGGACGGGGGATCCTCCCACAGGGACCACGTGCCTGAAATCCACCCGGGTGGCCTTGTTTCGGGTGACATCTGCCGTCCATCACACTATCCGCCAGTACATGGGGTACAGTACTGATGCTAGTGGGGTACAGTACATGGGTCCATGCTGCCGCAAGGTCCCTGGTGTACGTCGGTGATACTGTACCACAGATGTGCTGATGCTGTACACCTCGATCCTTCGTTCTGCGACTGGGAGTCGTTTATTGAGGCATCTAAAAAGACGAAGAGAGAGAGCTTTGAGCTACCCTCCAGCTTGGAGGCAAAGTACACCTATCCCGCGCCATTTTCACTCATGATAGACCACAGGAACGTCGGTTTAAGGAGTGGTCGTTCTGCGGCTGGGTCTGGCAGGCCGAGATTCATGATGACGACGCAATCTGCTGGCATGCGTGGTTCTCCCGCCTAACACGTCATCATCCATGATCACCGTGGAGCACGCGATCGGGAGTGACACTAATGACGGACACTAACGTGTACTGTTTTGTACTACCCTGAGGAACGTGCTGAATTGTAATGCTTATAACGTGCTGAATTGTAATGCTTATAACGTGCTGAATTGTAATGCTTGTAACGTGCTGAGTGCGCACGCGCAGGTCACTAAAGTTGCTGTACAGTACAGTACACCGAAAAACTGCCCGCTGTCCGCTACAGTAGCGTAGCTTTGCTTTAGCAGCCGGACCGCTGTTTAGGGTTCACAAAAAGAAGGGCAAAAAGGAAACGAACGAATCCTTGGCTCACGCGGAGAAGCGAGGAAGAATTCATAGACCGTCGCACGCCGCCCGAGTTTCACGTGGTGGTGGTGAAATGCTGTACGTATTCGCGGACTAGGTGTAACCATGGCAGTCGTCCTTGCTAAACAGACAAGGCTTGCAGGCCTGCTAGTTAGTCAGCCAACAAGAGGCAGATACACAGGGTGCCCAACTTTAGAACACCTTGTTCACGAGTCGCGCTGGATGAATGTGGATGGAACTACTGATTGGGGGGGAGCACTTTGGGACAGAATCGGGCTGGGCATTTTGCGGACATCATCTTCGGGACATCAGGAAAGTCGCGTGTGCGCTCTCCAAGGGAAAAACGAAGGTTGGACAAATCGTCAGTCCTATGGTCGGACCAATCGCCTGCCTCCTACTGTTTCGAGCATTAACTCCTCGATGCTGGAAACCATGCCCTCGCACACACGGATGGCAGAATAAAGTACACACTTACTACAAATAAGTGGTCCTAAGGATAGACCAATCAGGAGGCTCGCAGGGCACCCTAGACGAACTGATCTGGGTGGGCATTACCAGCCGTAGAAAAATTGACCGTAGGGGCAAACCAAACTGCTTCGGATCGCATGCATTTTGACAGGTTAGTTCACTACATGATGGTATCGAATACAGTGAATAGGATTGGATGTTAACTCAGCCTCATGTAATGTAACGTGATGTGATTTAATCCCAATATCATTCAATGGGGTTGATCCTCTCTATGTTGGCATGACACTATTGTCAACTTATACATATGATCTATGTAGAAGTTATAGGCTAGACTAGGTGTGTGTTTCTAGTGAGTACAACCCAACAGGTATATGTTCTAGGTTTCTCCTTCTAGTAAATCATTCACGTAATCTAACATGGTATCGAGTAGGTTAGGTCCCCCCGCCCGCTTCCGCCCGCGCCCTAGTCTCTCGTCCGCCCCTAGCCAGCCCCCAGGCCGTCGCGTCCGTCACTAGCTGGCCCCTTGGCCGTCGCGTCTGCCCCTAGTCAGCCCCCTGGCCGTCGCGTCTGCCCTCAGCCGCCCCCCTAGCCGTCGCGTCCGCCCCAGTCGGCCCCCTGGCCGTCGCGTTCGCCCCTAGCTGGCCCCCTGGCCGTCGCGTTCGCCCTTAGCTAGACCCCTGGCCATCGCGTTCGCCCCTAGTCGGCCCCCTGGCCGTCACGTTCGCCCCTAGCTGGCCCCTTGGCCGTCGCGTCCGCCCCTAATCGCCCCCCTGGCCGTCGCGTCCGCCCTCAGCTGGCCCCCAGGCCGTCGCGTCCGCCCCTAGCTGGCCCCCTGGACGTCGCGTTCGCCCATAATCGGCCCCCTGGCCGTCGCGTTCGCCCCTAGTCGGCCCCCTGGCCGTCGCGTCCGCCCCTAGCCGGCCCCCTGGCCGTCGCGTCCACCCCTAGCTGGCCCCTTGGCCGTCGCGTCCGCCCTCAGCTGGCCCCCTGGCCGTCGCGTCCGCCCGTAGTCGGCCCCCTGGCCGTCGCGTCCGCCCTCAGCTGGCCCCCTGGCCGTCGCGTCCGCCCCTAGTCGGCCCCCTGGCCGTCGCGTCCGCCCCTAGCTGGCCCCCTGGCCGTCGCGACCGCCCCTAACCGGCCCCCTGGCCGTCGCGCCCGCTCCTAGCCGGCCCCCTGGCCGTTCGCGCCCGCCCCTAGCTGGCCCCCTGGCCGTTCGCGCCCGCTCCTAGCCGGCCCCCTGGCCGTTCGCGCCCGCCCCTAGCTGGCCCAACTGGCCGTCGCGCCCGCTCCTAGTTGGCCCCCCCCCCTGGCCGCACGCGCCGGCTCCTGGCCGGCCCACGCGGTTGACTTCCTCGCCTGGCTCTCCGATCTCCGCCGTCAGCTTACAGGTCAGCGCCAGGATGGAAACTCACTGGTTGTCCATGCTGATGGCTTGCTCCCCCGCCCCCCTGCACCTGCTCCCCTCCCTGCTGACCCCACCTCCGTTGAGAGTGAGGCTTTCTCTACTGCTGCGCTTGCCTGTGCGGTCTGGGACTCACACGATGCAGTAGCTCAGGTTGCTATCAGTCACGCCTTCCCTGTGTCTGAGCGCTCGCGTTTCGCTACAGTTGATACGGCCAAAGCTTATTTAGACGCTGTTATTGCTCGCTATTCTACACATGCATCCGCTTCTGCCGGCCGCGTGCTCTTCCCGATGCTGTTCCCAGAGCTTGCTGCCTTCCCTAGTGTCGCAGACTTTGCCACTCACTTACGTGCCTTAGAGACTCGCTATCGCACTGCCAGCACTGCTGCCCAGCTCACTCCGCTCCCCCCCCCATTCTGCATGACCCTCTATTTTATCGCCATGCGCCTGCTAGACCACCTAGCTAGTGCCCCCGACCGCTTCCTTAGCCAGCACCTTTGTCGACACTGACCGCCTTTGACCTCACACTGACCGCCTTTGTCGACACCCTCACCGAGATCGAGACGCACCAGCGCACTATCGCTGAGTCGAACGGTGCGCCGGCAGTCTCTATCTTTCACGGCTGTGCCCCCTCCCAGTGCACGTTTACTGACGTTTCGGCTGCGGTCGCCACTGCGACCCCTCTTACTGAGATGGCTGCTGCGGTCCAGGGAGGTCGTGGCCGTGGCCGTGGCCGTGGCGGTGGTCGTGGCCGCCAAGGAGGTCGTGGTAGTGGCACTAGTGGTGGTGGTAGTGGTGGTGGTGACGGTAGTCCATCTGAGGGGACTACCATCGGTGGGCAGGAGCAGACGCAGTCGCCTTCACAGCCGGAGCAGCCCTAGCAGCAGCGCCGCCGTCCCAGCAGCAGGCGTCGCAGCCGTGGGCTCGTCTCCCACCTGGTTGGCCCGGCACAACCAGCGGTGGTGGCCGAGGTGGTGGCCCGCGCAGCTTGGCGTCTACCGGCAGCTCCATTGCTGTGACCTGCCAGTACCAGCTTCAGACCGGGCCTCTCCGCAGCACTCTGTGCCGCCGCCCGCACCCAAACGCCAGCTGTTTCCGCCGCCTCGATGATCTCTTTCGTCGTCGCTTTGGCCCGGCCCCGGACCTCCCTGACTGGCACAGCCTGCTTCGCCAGGGCGTGCCGATCTTTGAGTTAGATATGGATCAGATAGGTGCTGCTTTGCATGCTTTGTATGCTGACGCTTCTAGTGTTGCTGGATCTTATTACCCTGTGTACTCTAGCTTAGGTGTCTCACCCTTGTGTAGCTTAGCCTCCCCTGCTGTGTCAGGCATAGGACTGCCTAGTTTGTCTAGCCTAGGTTTTGCACCGGCTCCGTTCCCAGCCTCCGCCACTGCCTCGCTGTCCTTCACTCTCGACTCCGGTGCTTCTGCCTGTTTCTTCCGCGACCGCTCCACGCTTACGCCGCTTGCTGCACCTGCTGTTGTCTCTCTCGCTGACCCCTCTGCGGGTCCCGTCGTCGCTCGCAGTTCCACGTCCCTTCCCTGTCCAGCAGTTCCCTCGGGCTCTCTTACAGGCCTCCACATTCCCTCGTTCTCGAGGAACCTGGTTGGTGTCGGCTATCTTCAGGACCTCGGCGTCACCACTACGTTCACCGGGCACGAGCGTTTCGCTGTCTGTTCTGAGGCTGTCTCAGGTTCCCCACTTGCTACGTTCCCCCGGGACCCGGTGTCCGGACTGTTCACCCTAAACACCGCTTCCCCCCCGGTTGGTGCGTCCTCCCAGCGCTGCAGCTTGCTCGTGTCGGTCTCTCACTCACCCGTCCCTTTTGTGGCACCACCGCCTAGGTCACCCTGCACTCCCGCGTCTGCGTCACATGTCCCAGCACCGTCTTGTCTTAGGCCTCCCCGCGTCGCTCCCCGCCATTCCCCACTTGCCTGCTCCACCGTGCACACCCTGCGTCAAGGGCCGGCTCCGCCGTGCCCCTCACTCCTTCTCGCTTCGCCCTGCCACTGCTCCTCTTCAAACTCTGCACCTGGACGTTTGGGGCCCAGCCCCCGTCCCCGGACCGCGTGGCGAGCGCTACTTTTTTGTGCTCGTCGACGTCTACACGCGCTACACCACGGTGTTTCCCCAGGAGCGGAAGGCCGACGTGCCCGACGTTCTTCTCCCGTGGGTTTTGGTTGCGCGTCTTCACCGCGGTCTCCCCGTGTTGTGTCTCCTCTCTGACCGTGGCGGAGAGTTCGCTTCTGGGTGGCTTGGACAGTTCTGTCGTACGGAGGGCATCACCCAGTCGTACACCTTGCCGGACTCGCCATAGCAGAATGGGGTTGCTGAGCGTCGCATCGGCTTGGTCATGGAGGTGGCTCGTACCTCCATGATCCATGCCGGTGCACCCCATTTTCTGTGGCCGTTCGCCGTTTGCTACGCCGCTCACCAGCTTAACCTGTGGCCACGCTCCCAGCGGCCGCAGGTTTCGCCGACCCTCCTTTGGACCGGGTCCCCCGGTGACGCGTCTGCGTTCCACGTCTGGGGCTGCCTTGCACACGTTCGTGCCTCTGGCACGGACAAGCTCACTGCCCGCACTGTCCCTTGTGTCTTCCTTGGTTTCCACCTGGACTCGTCTGACTGGCTCTTCTACCACCTGCAGTCTCACCGCTTTCTCCACTCTCGTGATGTCACCTTTGACAAGTCTGTCTCCTTCTACCGTCGCTTCCCTCACCGAGGTCTCCCGGTTTCCCCCCCCCTGTTCCTTGCCCCCTCTCCCCTGGTAGCCCCTGCTCCCCTCCCGCCACGTCCTGCCCCATCTGGTGTCTCCCATATCACTCCCCTCCCGTCAGTTGTCCCTGTTGAGGAGTCTGCTGACTCTGGTGGACCCCCTGCCCCGCCTTTGACGCGTCTCCCTTCCCCGGTATCTCCACCTCCGCTGTCACAGTCGCCGCCGTCGTCGCCGCCGCCGCCGCCGTCGCCGCCGCCGTTGTCGCTGCCGCTCTTGGCCTTCGGGGGTGCTGGCGCTGAGGAGGGTGTTCGTCCTGTGGCTCCTGGCGTGGTCTGTCCCGGCGGGCCTGGGGGTACCGCTGGGGCTGGAGAGGGTTCTCGCTCTGGGGGTTTTGGTTCTGGGGGTGCTACTGTTGAGTGTTCTCCCGGAGGTCATCGTGCCCCTGCCGGTTCGAGGGTTGAGCACCAGCCGCTGCAGCAGCCGCCGTAGTCGTCGCCGCCGGTCTCCGCTCTTCGCCTGCTCGGCCTTCCCTCCCCTGACCGCTCGCCAATGTCCCCCCCACCTCCTCCTCACCTTCCTGTCTACAGCCCTGTGTTCCCGCCCCCGGACTCTACTCCTGCCCGTCTTCCTCCTCGTTCCCCCCTTGTGTCCCCTCCTTACCCTACACCTCCATCCCACGTTTGGTCTCGCCGTCCCTCCCGTGCTCGTCCCGTCTCCCCTGTCCCGCGCTCCCATCCTATGTTACTCCGTTCTCACTCGTCTCGTCCTCCCCTCCTCCCCTCTCCTCCTCCCTCGTCGCTCGTTGTTGCACCTCCCCCGCTGTCTGACTACCTCCGTGCCGCTAGTCCCCTTGTCCCTCGGGTCCTTGCCTCTCTTGTTACA